TAGATCCCTAAGCCTGGTGGCATTAAGAAAGGCTGGATGCGTCAGTGGGCAGTCGTGTGCGATTTCAAGGTGTTTTTATTTGACGTAACGGGAGATAAACCACCCCAAGTTTCCCAGTCTGCCACACAGGTCATTGACATGAGGTAAGCATATCGTTATTTTAAGAGAATATATTAAAAAAATGCAGAATATTACAGAATGAAAGATGAGAAATGTTTAATTTTGTTGAAATAGTTTTGCTTACCATCATTGTCTTTTTCCAGAGACGAAGAGTTCTCCGTGAGTGGTGTCTTGGCATCTGATGTCATCCATGCCAGCAAAAGAGAGATACCCTGTATATTTAGGGTAAATGTTGTTTTCGTTGTTGGTTTTGTTGTCATCGTCGTTGTTATTGTCCTTGTTGTTGTTGTCGTCGTCGTTGTTGTTGTTGTTGTTGTTGTTGTTGTTGTTGTTGTTGTCATCGTCGTTGTTATTGTCGTTGTTGTCATCGTCGTCGTTGTTGTTGTTGTTGTCATCATCGTCGTCGTTGTTGTTGTTGTTGTCGTTGTCGTTGTTGTCGCTATTGTCATCGTCGTCGTTGCTGACTGCCACCTCTTCTTCTTACAGCTAACTGCATCTCAGATGACGCCTCCCGGGGAACCATTGACACAGCTTTTCCTTACTGAAAAGGAAAGAGATCGTGTTAACTGGGTGTCGGCTCTCCAAGAACTGCATAAAATATTAAAAAAGAACTTCCTATCGTCAGAAATGGTAAGAGGGATGATGACTAGTCGAGTATAGAAAAAGTTTACAGGTCAACTCGGAAACACTTTGTTTCTTTAGTCAACTTCTATTGTGTCTAGATACACGCGTTCTTTTGTTTGATCGTTAAAGTGCACATGACACCATTAGNGTGTTTGTATTGGCACAGAAGATGGATTGTTTTGTATTGAACTTATGAAAGAAAGTAAGTACATGTCAAACACTTGGATAAAAGCCTGTAAAATCTGTTTGACTGGTCCAATTTATTAAATGATTCTGAAATTTCTGTAGGTATTTCTCGTATTGGTGACAACAAGAAAGCATATCAAGTCGAGATGCTGCCTGATGAACAACTGCTTGTGCTGATATCAGGTAAGGACTAAATACGTCTATCTCCCCGTCTGCCTGTGAGTGCACTTGGCTGTCTGTCTGTTTTTGTGCCATTCTGTCGCCCATCCATCCATCCTTTTACCCTTCCGTCCATTCCTTTTTTCATGCATCAAATGTCCATCTACTGTATTCATTCATCTTTCATCCATGTCTACCCCTGCATTCTTCCATCTTTTTATATTCCTATTGTTTCCATTCAGATCACCCATACATGTAAACAGGTTATTTATCTTTTTTTTTTTTGTTTATTAGTATGACTCATAGAATTATTTTTATTTTTTTAACAGGGAAAAATCGTCATATAAGACTATACCCKCTTACTGCACTTGATGGACACGACACTGAACCCGTGAAAATTGCCGAGTCAAAAGGTATATTAAACTGATTAGTTGATGGATTTTTTTTTGGGCCACGTTTTGTGACGACTGCTTCACGTGCAGTGTTTTCTTTTGCCATGGTATGCAACTTGGCTGTCATCACCCAGTAATCCAATGCTGTGTGATTATATCAGAGAATATTTTGTAACGATTACAGGTTGTTCAATGTTTGCTACTGGTGGAATCCATTCTAATTCATCAAGTTGCCTGTGTGTGGCAATTAAAAGACACATAGTTGTTTATGAATTAAACCGAACAAAGTTTAGACATCTTAAGATTAAGGTTAGTATTTTTTATGAAATAATGACGATTACCACAATATGAACTTAGTGAATGTACTTCATAATCGCTTGTCCATTATTTTCTAATTTCAATTGTGAAATTTCCAATCTTAGCTTCTTTCGTTTCGGTTACGCGTCACACAACGTTCTCTTTTTGCGTGACGCGTGACGCGTGACAAAAACTAACGACGACTATTGTCTGTTTTTTTTTAGGATATTAATCTTAACTTCAACCTCCATTGGATGGGTGTTTCATTTGGTAAACTTATCGTTGGATATGTGTCTGGCTTCACGATATACCAATTGGAAGGCGATGGCCTACCACAAAGTTAGTATTCCGGTGTTAAATAGACACGAATAAAAAGGGTTTCAGTCTAAAAGTATCYGTTTTTGTTTATAGAACTTGTAAATGCAGATGAYCCTACCCTGAATTTTATCACCAATAACCCGGTGGATGCACTATTAGCTGTAGAGATTGAACCCTCCAAAGAACATCTTCTTTGTTTTAACTGTAAGTATGTTCCCATCATGATGATTKACTTACACGTTCACAGTTTTGACATGGTTTTATGGAAGTATAGATATCGAACATAAAATCATGGTTTTCGTGACTTATGACATTCGAACTAAAATWCTGTTGTCACACTAACCTCGTTCCTTTCGGCCTTTTCTTCGTACTACATGGCTTTGTTTACTCTACGCAAAATTTCTCTTTATTATGTAATGTACTTATTTTATTCATAGTACTTGGTGTCTTTGTTGATTCTAATGGTTACCGATCAAGACGGTACGAGTTGATGTGGCCATCACCGCCTACATCAGTTGGTAAGTACTATAGTACTTTATCAGCCACAGCAATGCGTCTGATTTCAAGATATCAGGAACTCTTATATCCAAGTACCTACTTGTAATCTTGGTTTTTATGTTCGCTTACTTAGTCTGAAAGTAATATGCAYTTCGTCAAAACAGACATGACGTCATTACCTTTCCAAGATTGATTAATATTTCTCTTTCCAGCGTACTCGTGCCCTCACGTGATTTCGTTTAGTGAAAGAGCCATCGATATTTTCGATTCTAATACAGCTGAATGGCTACAGACAATTCCACTTCGAAAGGTACCATTTTCATACATTTTGTTTCGTTTCGTTTCTTTATTTTTTACTTGTTGTTTTATTTACAGTGTCATTCGTTAATAAGCGAGGGTTCCCTGTGCTTGTGTATGGCATCAGAGCAACCTAACCTTGTTTACCTGAAGAACAAATCATTTGAAGGTAAGATAGCTTTACTAATCAAGCAAGAACTACTAAATCCAATAGACAACTTCATGTTCTTAAATATATCTATGGCAAATGGCCTGATAGCCAGCTTTACTGAGTAAACCTTTTTTGTGTTCTGCAGAAGAGGAATTAATTATTCCTGATCCCAACAAGGGCAAGAAAGCTATAGCAGCCATGTTAAGATTGAAACAGAAACCACGGTAAGACTTAAGTTTCATTTTCTTGTTTTTTCTCTGCCTCCAGTGGGTCTTGAAATCACTGTTTTTAGCCCGGTGCGACGAAGCATGAGGAGAAAATTTTAAAACAAAAGAAAGGAAAAAAACTTGGAAGGAAAGCTCAAAGAGTGATTTTTTACATTTGTGTCTTTGTAGTCCTATTTTTCCTTTTTCCTTTTTCAAAAAAACTAATGTTAATGTTAGTTAGCAAAAGCCCATCAAAGACTTCTTCTGGAGCTTTATCCAAAGAACCACGTGCATACAAGAGCCTTTGCGCGCTTTTTCCACTATCGCCATCTTTGATTCAGAACCAATGAGAAAGCAGCTTTCAAAGCAGACGATCGCAAAGTTTTTSKGATGCACGGAGGCCTTAAAGCTTATATWATTTGCTTRCCGTTTGCAACGACCTGAAATGCAGTATATACTCTTCACTTGTAGCACATCTATGAGATTCTCATGGAAGACCAAAGAAGCAGGACTTCAAGACTTGGATTCCGACACACGTTCTAAGCTTATTTCAGGACCWACYAACTTTAACCATATATCACACATGGGACCAGGAGACGGTCTACAAATTCTGAGAGATCTACCAATCGTAAGTTAATGTTACTCTATTGTTGTCACGTAATACTGCCKCTCATGAYCGTCATGATAACGATGTATGKTTTTTGCTTTTCAGAATGTYCAGCGGTCTGACGATGAGAATGTAACAGGTAATTATGGAAGTAATAMGTTTCAAAKACGTTACGTAAACGCGCGTTATGCTATGATAATGCTATCGTAAGTTACGTCAAGGTKAATTTAATACAAAGAATACTCTAGACCCGTCACCGAGTCACGTTTGATTAGTTTGATAGTARATCCAGTTWAATTAACATWTGTCGATAACGAGTCGGTCCTTTTGATTGACAGTTACCCATCGTCCACCAGGAGCTGTAGGTCCTCGATCCAAACGTGCGGTGACCGCTAATCCCGCCATGATGAACCGACCAAACTTGTTAGCTAGAGGACGTCAACAAAGACCTGCAAGTCAGGCAGCATCCATTAATGGTAGAACTACGTCATCAACTGGTGTTGATGGGTAAGTGTTACTTGTACTAATGATAATAGTGATGATATCACTCGATGATTCTATCCGATATATCTTTTTTGTAAAGTCCATATTGTGGAACTTGCMCGAAATCTAACTTTTGTACACGCKCTTACGTTTTCATACCGTTTACTGACCTTAAAACATATCAGTGTCATGAAGCACAGACGTCACTCTTCCTTTTCAGCCCGTAKTCTGCTAAAGGTTTTGATTGCCAATCCCTATAARTCTTTGAATTKYMCAACGAATTTATTTGATTTCTTTTCAGAACGACAGAGTCTCCRCCTACCCATCGTGCTCGATCATCGTCCAGCCGGTCAGCTGATGACCTGAATGAAAACAAGAAAAACTTGAATGGAAACAATCGATTATCAGCGGACCTCGATACGTATCAGCAGGTAATAATTACGTAGTAGCGCGTATAAATCCTGAATCTCGCCTTTACGTACTTTGCTTCATTTTGAAATTGCCATTGCAATCAACTCTCGTTATAACGGACTTTTTTGGACCGTGAATAAGTGTCCGAAATATCGAGTGTCCGCTGTAAAGTGAGTTATTGTATGTAATTTCTTTGGATCGGGGATTTGACGGGTCGTAATAAACGGGTGTCCGTAATATCCGAGTGACCGCAAGGTAAGAGTTGACTGTTCGTTTACGTCAGCGCATACTTTATACGTACGTACTTTTACTGCGTTTGCATTTATGAACGTTGTATCCTTACGCAATTTCATTACGCATACGAAGATTTCATTGCTARAGCCCGTCGCTCATTCATGTTTCTTTCTAGCAGCAATCACTTCGCGATAGCGCACCAAAAAATGCAGATGATGAACTCAGACAGTTGGAATTGGCACTACAACTTAGTAAACGTCAGGCTGCTAAGGGAACTGCATCCTCGAGGGTGGGCATTATACATCATTACACATTGTCTTATAGATAAGCCTGGTATGCACTGGCGAAGGTGGTGATATCCATTTATCTGGTCTGAGACAATGATTTCATTTATTAAAAGTGACATTGAATTATTCTTACGTGATACGGAAAATTTGCCGTTCTTTTCCACCTAAGCTAGTGTTACTAAGGCTTATAGATCATTTCATTTTGTTGTTTAACGTCGTCATTCGTTGTCATGGTGTTTGTTGATCACGTGTTCGTAGACACATGTCAATCAATAGACCCCTTGCAGTTCATGGGAATGCAGCTCCAACTGGAGGACAAATGAATAGATTCTAGTTCCCAAAAGGATAAAAATCTTTTGTTTCGCCTTCCAGATGAAGCTGCTTTGACGTCACATGCAAGGGGTCTATACGCGTGTTTCTACCCTTGTATCGTCTTCCGTTACCATGGTGTTTGTTGATCACATGTTCGTAGACACATGTCAATCAATACGCTTGTTTCTACCCTTGTATCGTCTTCCGTTGTCATGGTGCTTGTCATACACGTCGATCACATACATTGCATGCTGCATGCACATTAACAGCCTTCGAATGCCCGTTTGTATGCCTGTACTAATTGCCCTAATCAAAAGCATTGCATTTAATTGACATAGTAATAATTGATAGTAATAACAAATCAATAATAATTAATTATAAGGTCTTATTTCACTGTGCTCATGATGTAAATCTTTTCAGGATTCCCTCAATTTACCTGAATCGCCGAGGCACTCTTCAGGTTGGTCAATATTCGTTGTTATGTTGAGCAGTTCGTATATTAAAAGAACTGGATTTTTGATGGTTTGAATTAGTGACGACTTTGAAATGTGTACAAAACGTTTAATATCACTGGGAGGAAAAAAACTACTGTGTATTACCACCATAATTGTTGTAGATTTGCTTTTGTTTATGATTATTTTAGTATCCACCATCATTGGTGGAGATCCCTGCTATTTTTCCTTTAAGAATTATCCTTGTAGTATTCACCGCAACTGGTGAAGACCTGTACCATTTTACCTTTGTATATTATTACTCACGTATCCACCATAACTGGTGGAGAACCGTGACATYTTCATGTAACGAATTGTTGCATCAACAGCCTCTGGGTCAAGTTCTGGTTTGAGTGCTTCTCCGACACCAAGTCACGAAGACAATGTGACGTCACCGGACTGGTAGGTCACAAAAGCATTACTTTTTATTTATTTTACTTATATATCATCCTTATCTATTTCATTTCAATAAAATCATTTTCCATTTTCGAGAAGCTCAAGTGATAATATTATCTTAATGTAATATTTTATTTGAAGAACTAATTTTGTTCAAAGTGTTATTTTTTGTTTATACCTAATTGCCAAAATGTATTCATAGAGAAATAGATCATTCGTGGGCTAGAACGAATTCCTTTTTAATGGTTTCCTTTCTACTAAAATACAAATGCGGTTCAACTTCTCTATGACAACATTTTCTCTGTTAGGTGTGTCTTTTAAGTGTTTCAAACTGAGCCATAAAAACTCGATAACCCGGTGGTGTTTAAACGCTTTTAAAATATTAAATTAACAGGCTAACCAGTTCTAAACGTCCTTAACCGCTGGTCCGCTCATGGCCGTCCCACCACAAGGAGATTTAACAAAAAGTACAGATATTAGAAAGTATTTAAAATGTTGGCTAAAATGAACAGTAAATTGCTGATATAGTTTGTTAATACATCTGACAATACAGATACGAGTATCTAAAATGACTTGTCACAGGGTATTGTGACGCAGTTACTTTTTTAAAGTGTTCAATAATTCCTAGAGATAGCAGTTTGTTGCTCGACATAAATTCATCGCAAAACTTGCACCTTGACTTACTTTGACGTAGCCTTCTTCGGATGCAACCCTACTAAGTGGGATTCCTGTGTTAAGTCAATATAGCTGCCGGAGGGGGTGGGGGTTAGGACGGTTATCAACATAGGAAGAGCAAAAAGGCAAAAGTCCGTTTCCACTGGAGTAGCCTACGAAGGAGGTTAACTTTGACGTGGAATTATCAGTGAAAGGGGTGTGTTGGTGGTTGGAAAGTTGTTGGATGAAAAAAGAYCTCTTTTAAAAGTGYTTATGATTCCATTTTAAATCGTTATGTATATTTTGCGTTTTTATGGTGCTTGATTTGATATCGAATTTATGCAGAGCAAAATATTGCCGAGGATTATTTGAATTTCATTTGACAAAGGCTAGCTGGAGAGCCCTCTAAGGTTTATTAATACATTCTGTTTAATAATATTTATGTTCAAATGTAGATATTTTAAAAAGAACTAAATCTAAATGTTAGTTTTCGAAATTATAAAAAAAAATCAATGCAGTTGAAGTGGTATTGTCGTGTCGACTATGTAGGTAACCAAGCTTTTAATACAAGGCCTGGTTACTTTTCAATATGGCGGATGAACTTAATACTTCAACACCGGTTTAGCTGAAAGTCAGTTTGAGAAAATAAGAGTCTGAGAGAAGATGATGTGAAAACTACTGGCAGCAAGACACATTATTGGAGTAATCGCCCCAGGATGATTTATAGTGAGACACGACAAAACCACTAACTTTTTATTCATCATTTAAAGTGTTCCTAATAAATTGTAAAATGTAGTAAAGCGTTCGGTTTTTTGATAGTCGAAATCACTGAAATAACATGGATATTTGTTTAAATAAAACTCTTGTGAAAGTTATTGTCTTTTTATTTATTTTTAAGTGGTCAGCTTGTAAAATCTTATTGGGTCTCATGCTAAGACACGTAACATAAAGTAGGATAAGATGATAAAAGCATTAATTATAGCATAAGAAACAATGATAACAAAACCATAATAAGGATAAAAACAAAGAACTTCAAGATAAATATTAACAAAACATAACGTTAACACAATAACATTACTAACAATATAAAATGACTCATGTTAAATCTAACACTATAATAACAGAGGTGAAGACACTAAACCCGTGAGTCGATTAGTTGGCTTACCTCCTTTCTTTGACTTGAGCTAAACTAATGGAGCCTTCTTCGGTATTGGACGAAGTTAGATTTATTGTCGTATCAAGTCTGTAAATGTTTTGATGTTGCCATAGCATGTTATTTGTCGTTGTCGTCTGTTTGTCATTCGTCGTATTTCGTCGTTTGTTTGTCGTATTCCGTCGTTTGTTTGTCGTATTCCGTCGTTTGTTTGTCGTATATGTTTCATGAATAGAGATAGCAAGCCGAATCCTGCAGTTTGTACACTGTGTGCACATTCCGTTGTTGTTGCTGTATTATTTTTTTGTCTTCTCTTTTTTTTTTGTAAAGGTTCTTGTTAACCAGCATGCATTTTTGTGTTGTTCACTTTCGTGTTCAGCTCGGTTTTTTATCGTATCTTTTCCGTAAGTGGTTCCTTTTGTCACTGTAATCATCGTGTTCTGTTCGTTACTGGCTCGTCTATAATAAACTGACCAGCATGATGGTGTTATCCACTCAGTTTAATGTTGTAATCAGTGAATTCACTAATTTCGTCTTTGAGAAACTCTCAAGGCTCTTTGTCACACGGCGGCTTCGAAAGGGATCATGGGAACTGAAATTTTTGCTAATAATAATTCCATAATAATTCATATTTTTGATAGATGGTTATGATGGTAAACTTTAATGATGATGATAATGATGGTAATGGTAATAATAATAACATAAATGATATCGGTAGTGAAGGCGATGCTGATAAAATAATGCCATTACGGTTATATAACAATATTACTGATAACAATGATGGTGATGATATAATAATTAATGATGATGCTAATCATTATGATCTAAACAGAAAGTGTTGGTTTATCCAACATTCTGTCATTTAGCCACCTATGGCCGCCACTAGGATGTCAGTGTTAGTCCCATGGTTCTTTTCGAAGTATATACGAATGATTTTCCCAATGAATACACAAATTGTACTGATTACTTCACAGTGTTCGGCTGCATGTCTCGGATAGCACCAAACTGTAAGAGCACGAGGTAAGAACGTGGAAATCCATTGAAACTTTCCTTTTCATTCGAATTGCAAAATGCGGCCAGCGTTGTTGACAAAAAAAAGATAAGATGTGGAAACGAGGGCACCCTTTSATTACGTTTAGCGATCGTAATTTTCCTGTCTCATAAAGSAAGCGCAGAWTGAATATTGACTCGACATCTATTGCGTATATGAAGGGCCATGGTCCACCAGCATTCAATGCGGTCGTGTGTTCGATTTTGTATTGTGGAAAATGAGGTGACTTATCCATTCTCAGTCCGTTTCCATCCGCCGGTTTTTAGGTCGAATCTTACAATATCTCCATTYATGTAGCGTAAAGGGWTAATAAAGGTTTTTGCGTAAATTGCGATTTATTTTTAATTCCATACGTAAACAAAAGCTCGAAAGGGATACCGGTGGATCATGGCACTTRAACAAACATGCCCACAATCTTGAGCCTTGTATTCGGTATAAAACTTACGTTGTTACTTCCTTTCCAGAATGCTGTTGGCGTTCCATGGACTAGCGGGTCTGGTTTCCAATTGTGCATAGAAGAAATTTTAACAAAATCATCARCAATGAAGACGAATCTATTGCTCAAGATGTCCGTCACATCAAAGATCACTTGCGGTTTCTAGTAATGTTTTCTAACGAGCCGTCGTCTTCCATTCTGACAGAGTATTTGAAAGCGATTTAATTGACGATATTGAAAAAAACTTTAATAGTATTATTACGTACTCTTTATTTCTAGAAAGTCAAATGGAAACAAAAAAGAGGAGCGAAAGTAGACATCGCTTGAAACTCTTTTATTCAGTGTTTGAGGTTACCACGGCTGTTTTTAATGTCGACTTCTTAGATTTTTACACAATTCTTGTCACTATWGCGGAACATTATGACAAGCCTGAGGTTTTGACAATCATTGGACCAACGGRTCAGTTTTGTAGAAAATGAGAGGGGAGGGGACGGGGAGGACAGCTAGYATACTGAAATTGACCAATTCAAATCCGTTTTCAAAAATGTTGGAAGTATTACAAGAATGTTTTTAAACATKTTTATTTGTGTTTACTCGCCTTGAGCATACTGGCAGGGCAATGGCAATATTATAACTCTATCTTTTTCAAGAAGAAATCAAAAGAATCTCTTAATCAACTTTCTTGTGCGTGACAGCATTTTTGAAAATGGTTTAATGTGCTTAATGCTAAACCATAACAATTGCCATTTGATTATTTCAGTAGAAAAGAGCAATAATATAATAATGTGATAATAAACAATTGCGGAATACTTTTATTTCCAATATTTTAAATATCCAATAGTTATTTTTAAATTTAATGCTTAGCTTTTTTGGGGCTCGGCTGTTCAAAGCTGCTTTATAATACGGTTAATTTTTTTGACATTTCCACAAGTTAACCCATGGATTTGAACAAGCCTTTCCAAGCTTTATTTTATGTGTAAAAATTGTTATATAAGCTTGCTAGAAGTAGTTAGGCGTTTTTGATTAGTTAAAATATAAATCGCTGCTTGCACGACAATTTCAACATTGGAAAGGAGGACCTCTTCAATGCGGACGYTCGTGATACAAAGATTTTCTGTGTCCGTATTGTGTGAGGTTTCCAAACTGTCGCTGCTTTGTCGTAATGCATGAAATGATTTTGTGGCAGTATTTTCAGTCGTTCTGGGAAAAATATGGTCGRTRCAAGCAGTATACACAAATGATTTTTTAGAGCAAAAACCTCGTTACTCAGCCAGAATAACAGGACTATTACTGCAACAGAATTACAATGTAATGTCTTGTAAARAAGAGACATTTGAGTAAATGTTAGAATATTCTGAACGTTATTATTTTAAAAACTTGTTTTCGTAAATCAACGAATGTATATTTCATATATTACTCCGATAGAATTGTAATCAGAAATAACGGTTTGTACAAAGATAAGGTACCAGTTAATAACTTTAGTGATTATTAAACAATGAAACACTGCTTTGTTTATTTGTTTGATTACAAGTCTASAGTCAGGGACCTACTATTAGAAAAACTCGAATGAAGGATGACGTTTTTTAAAATGCTGAGTTAAAAAACCTACACATGAATGTTATTATAAAAAACACTTGCAGACCTCTGGAGAGCAGACCCACCAATAATCCCAAGAATCATGGGCTGGGCTAGGCAGCAATCTCGTACCCCCGGGTCTCCTTTTTCACTGGCCAAGAATACGAAGGCTCAGGGTACGAGATTCCCTTTAACCGCTTGTCCGGTGAATCAATATCCCTTTAAAAGTCAAGCCCGGTTATTTTTAACATTGAAAATTAAAAATTAAGCGAGGAGCCTGGGTTTTGCTCCAAGGCGAGGCAAATTATGTAACGGCAAAAATTGTCCTTTTTGGGTTTGGTTATCTTTTTGCAATGCCAGGAAAGTATTTTTTTGATAAAAAGGGTCATAATTTTGACCTGCACAGAAAATATGTTGCCCGTTTTGGGTCGCGAGAAGATCTATTACCAATATGCGGACTTCAAATTAAATGCAAGCATTAATGACAAAAAATCCAACCACGAGGATACCACTTGCTTCTCACAAATAGAAAAAAACGGGAGTGCAATGATGAAACAGAAATAAACATTATAGTTATTAGAGAAAAGTAATACGCGCGCGCGTTGAGTTATGATGTACAGCGGACATCCGCCCAAAAAAACATGGCGGACAGTGGTGATGCTGAGCATGAAGTGACTTGGGATAAAAAATTAATTTCCCAACCTTGGCAGCCATTTTCTATCGATGAAAATACGTATATAATCAAAGCAGTATTTGACGAACCTCTTCTCTCTTATGAATTTTGTATAAGCGACTTTAAAAAGATTTGGTACGAGAAGATTGATGGAGAGAAATTCAAAGCCATTTCTGAGGTACGCTTGAAAACCCTCTCAATTTTAAAGGTTTTTTTTCTAATTTTGTCACTGTGGGACTGTGGGTTTTAGGAGCTTAATCCAAATSTCGAGGCTGAAACCTTGTACTTGATGAAGCACGTATTCAAGAATATTKTATCTCAACAACCCAACACAATCTATCAAATTCAGGTAAGCTCACAAAGACTAGTCCCCAAAAGTTATCACGAAATTTTACTTGCATCTGAATCTATCAAAAAATGACCGAAAGCTTCAGTCAGATCATGAAATAAAAAGCTCCTGTCAGTGCCGAAATAGATTTATCCCACTTTTAGATTTTTCCTCCTCCAAGGTTCCAAGTTTATGAAAAATTTGTATAAAATCCTTACAAAGTCTTTGAAATGGGCAATTTTAATATCCACCCTTGGTTTAACCAGATCCAGGACATTACTGATTTAAATTATTATATCAAATGCAGGCAGACAATGATAAACTTCAGCTACAGTTAAAGACCAAATTACAACCAGGTGTTTCATATGTTTGGTACTTTAACTGCCAATGCACTGCTGGTCAATTGGTAAGTCACATGCAGAAGGCTAGTTTATATCAGTGTCGTCCCATTGCCGGATTTCAAGCTGAGAGGGGACTAGGCAAAATCCTCTAATTGGATAATCACTTGATAAGACTTACAGTACATAGAAAGAAACCACTCGTTGAACAATGCAAAATTCCAAAATCTGGTGTTAATCAGTTCAATAGTGAACGGGTTACGACCTTTCAAATATTCTAAAATTTCCAAAGAAATGTATGGAAAGCCGTGAATGTGTCCACATTTTGACCATTTTCCGGACACATTCGCGAGATAACACACATTTCTTTGGAAATTTTAGAATGTTTGAAAGGCTGAAATCCAGCAATGACAGAGAGTTTGGTGCATTCCAGATTTCAAGCTCTTGTATACTCCATAAAATGTTTTTGCAAGGATTCTGGATTTCACTATATTTGTTTAGAGTGAAAAGCATAGCTTTCTTACCAGTGACTTTTTTACAATCATGAGACATCCAAAAGTCTGGATTCTGAATTCCTCTTGTTTTATCGCATTTTGCTTCACTAACACGGATCCTGGATTCAAACTGGATTCCGGATACTGTAGGTGATCAAGGGTTGGCTTAGACCAGACGGTGAAAGACGAAGAGTTTTTTGTTGTAAACCCATATACAAATCTTGAACCGTGTAGCTGTCAAGATGCAACATGCATTTTTACTGTGTTTCACAAAATGTGTGTACTTATTAAATGTTTAGATGAACCAGTCTCTGATTRAACCCTTGGTTGCTATGGTGGCTGAGTTRCTAAGGAGGCAAAATGAATTAAAAGCATTACTTCACAAGAAAGACATGGAGATTCAAGACTACAGAGAGTCAGATGCGAAGCTKTCACRAAGTATGTATGACCAGTTWTGCTGWGTTGATAATATTATGTCCCTGGACAACCTATATTGTGAAACTTCATTATTYTGGCCAATGAGGGGGCATTAAAAAGTGAAGATCTTAACAGGTTGGACCTATTAAGCAGATAGACATAARACGGRATTCCACTGTACATTCTGTTCAAGAATASCTGCATGTTAAGYTGTTAAGGAAGTATTGTACATTTTTTTTTTGTTTTCAAATAGAGAGCCTTGAAACAAAAACATTTGATGGAGAGTCATTCAATAAAAAGATGTCCCAATCATCTGTAAGTATCAAGTTATGAAAATATGACTGTCTTTGAAATATCTTTCTTGCATAGTCCTTGCCCATTGTCCTATTATATTCATAGTAAAATTAATACTGAGTCACCAGGGTTTGGTTTAGGAAGGGTGATTAGCACTATTAYGCTAATAAGTACTGTTTCTGATCCTTTTCTTACTTCTATTAYTTGATTTAGGCATTTGGTCATGCTGTTGCTAATGCCTCAAGGTTAGCATTTACAGACTCAGCTCAAGAACTTTACAAACATGTGGTAGAAAGACAAACCTGGCTTCAAGGCAGGGATCCAAAAGGTACCACTCCTACATACCAAAGCCTTACTCACCATCCCTCTGTGAGGAAAAAGTGTGAGGAAAATTGTCCACATGGGGGAAGGGGTGAGCAGTGTATGCTCATAGGATACCAATCCAAAGTTTATCAGACTTTTGGTATTCATAATGAGATATGAAAAATATTGTTTTATTCATACAGAGGAATATGGAYTGCAAATGCCATGGGACGGTGTTGATAGCTCACCTAACGTTTCCCCTTGCGTATCACCTCAAAAGATTACAACTCCAAAAGCTAAACCCTCTGCATCTGTAGTCTCTCCTTCAAAGGTTGGTACTGAGTGAATCTGTTGGAACMCTTCTACAAYGTTTTAACGTTTTTGTCATGACTTTAATTTAAATTTACAGTAGCCTTAAATGACGGTGATCACGATAATGATAATATTAACAGTGATGAATGAATAAAATGTAACTATTAGTATCCAAAAAACTATAGGATGTCAACAACAAATTTTCCTCCACTCTCATTGGTGGAGAGTCGAGCACRTGACGCGATAGTGCCYGCCACGGAGKGCTACMWTGAGTGCATARAGCCTGCCYCTTYAGAAATTTTGTTGTTGAATAATAAAAACAATAGAGCAGTTGAAATCTCTGGCATTTTGCTGTGAAACTAGTTGCCCTTGGAAACTGGATGGTCCTTAAAACTTCAACTGCGTTCTCTGGCARCTATTTGCTTTTCGGAACATCYAGTTTCCGCGGGCAACTATCACAGCATAATGCCCTCGATTCAGCTACTCTATTGTTTAAATGTCGAGAACATTTTTTTTTATGGTCTTTGGTTAAATTTGCCCATCATTGGTTGATGCTATCACACGTAATCCATATAACAATTCGTAGTGGTTTCGTACCTCGTTCGTACCTCGTAATATGTTCGTGCGACTTCGTAGCTCGTTCGTRCTTCGTGATAATTAGTCGCAGTAAATATTAATAGATTTTGTGCAGAGGGCGCCCTTGAGATTTTGCTGCGCACATATGAATGAGATTTTCCTCTTTTATTAGGAGCGTGAACTACAAAGAAGAGAAGAGCTTCGAAAAAAACTGGACGAGGAGGCAGAAAGAAAGAAAAGAAAAAAGAAAAAGATCAAGTTATGAGAACTATGTGATAAAGGTAGTGTAGGCAGTTGTTATCGTCAGCTTTCTGATCGTAGAGACGATRTTCGTTTATTCTTTGAACACGAGAAAAAGTTGCTGGGAAATAAGACAARAACACACAAAAAAGGACAAAATACAATACTAAAGATATGATTTTATGAAAGAACCTGCATATTATTCGCTATAAGAAGCAATAGCAAGCTTTATTTTTATTTGCTTATGAAACCATACCATGTATATTATTTGCTAAAAAAAACAAAGCAGGAAAGGAKWCTCGAGGGTTAGTAATTTATAGACAACGCCGATAAAACCTGTTTATCAATGAAGTTTCTTATGCAAATTTACCTGTTCTTTTAAGAGAAATATAAGGAAGTTCCCCTTCAGCTAGCTATTGACAAGTCGATAAAAACTGCTTATCAAGTTCCGAATATAAATCCACAAGTTTGAAATAAATTCAGCCGTTTTTTTMATCGSTATCGCAAGAAGGAAATCGCTTAGAAACCATTCTTTGATACTTACAGGTCTTACAAAGTATTCTCATTATGTTCTTTCTTTTTCGTTGTTGCTTTGCTGAATGCCCCAAGGCTTTTATGAAAAAAGAACTAAAATATTGTCTAAGGCTAACAACGTGATAGTGTCTTGTCGTACGCCTACTTCCTTTGCAACTGTCACCACTACAYGAAAAATCAAATTGATTTTGAAGCTCAATTCAATACGRGCCGCGTTTTCAAATTAATGTAAAACTCCAGTCACTGTTATTAATTCATTTGTTTTGCAGTTTCTAAAGCTCAATTTTGTCGCAAAATAATAATGATTTATAATGTCTACTTTTCTACGTTTGTAATTGTTTTAGTTCTAAAGACATAATAAATAATAGTGATTATTATTAAATCTGCTTCTCCACATGCAGGAACTATTTTCTAGGTTAAGAAATTGTTTTCTTTATTCTGGCTTTTAAGTGCATGAAAAGAGTTCWCACACAAAAACCACATTGATGCACTCAACCAATGTCCATTTTAATGCATCGCCTTAAGGCCTATATAAGTGTAGCTGGTGCCCTACTTTCATKCCTAACGAGAACGGCAGATAGACTCCCTTCATGACAACCGTTCACGACATCTTGTCTTTCTGTGCACGKACTTATTAGTTTTGTCAGACTGAGTTCTGGTTTGGTTTCGTGTTTATTTTTCCTGACAGAAGACTGACGAAAAGTGATATTGTTTTATAAAAGAAAACATCCGTTTTGTACCCGTTGTGTGCTTATAACACTATACAAGAAAGACTGTCAACAGCAACGAGAAAGCAACAAGTTCAAAGGAGCCACGGAAGGAGGTACGACTCTTCATGTCACCATTTTGATGATGAGAATTTATTTTCCTTGTAATTTCTATCTGTTTTTGCAATTGTTTCTTTTTTTAACGCGGAATCAGGGTTAGTAACATTCTTAAAAGACGCGAGATATATTAAGATAACATCATTCGGTTTTTAGGGTTAAATTTGATGCTTCGTCTTTTTCACTTAACTCAATGTGATTCAAAATCAAGCGTTAGTTCTGTACGTTATAGGACATTTTTTATGAGTATTGAAGGTTGATTTTTCCTGCGTTAAGCCAAGAACATTGTGTGTTATTGTTGTTTTTTCACTTTTTTCCATTTTTCTTCATCTTTAACAGYCTGTATGCATTTACTACCATGTTCTCGATAAAGTCTTCAGAGACATTTTAACTGATGTTCCCTGATGTTACAGTGAAAGCGCTGTTAGTCTTCTGAAAATTTCTTACATCAAAATTGCCTTGATGGCCTTTGCGAGCACTCTCTCAACGCATTAGTGACATAAAGTCATTTACTAAAACTTCCTACGGCACGTTTTTGCTAGTTGTTGTGCAACTTCGACTCTTGCATCAGTTTTTGATCGAAGCAAGTTCCTTCAGAAGTTTTTCCGTGTCGTACAGCGCCTTAACGCGGCGTTATAGAGTCGTTGCCGGGTCGTCTTTTTACGTATTTTACATTTTCTGGGTATTTCTCATCATTAATTTTGATGACATCTCTTTTTTTTCCTTTTTCTTTCTTTTACGCCAATTCAAATAGATATTTCTGAAATTTAAAACATTTTGTGATTTTATATATTATCGACGTTTTATTACTAATTTAAATTACTAATATTGACAATATTTAAAATGATGATAATATTTTTATTTTTGTAATTATCATAATCGAAGTAAATAATAATTCATTGAAAAATCATAATTTCGATGTATTTGATCTGGCAATAGATGCTGGCAGGCTTCCATTCCGTTTCTAAACGATTTATGGATTGAGTTTATGGATTGCCATCTAACTTATATATAACTTTTTATTGCTTTTGTGTGACTAAATTTAGATCACCGGGGATGTCGTTAAAATCCTCGATTGTACCCAAGATGCATTGCAACTGAGAATGATCTGAGATTGTCCTACCCCAAGATTACTAGAGATCGATCTAAGACCGATTTGTCTAATAAGTAAAGTATAATATGGCTCTCACTGGAATAAAATCGCGCTCCTTGAAGGTTGTTGATTTAATGGAAATATGATGTAAATTCAATCTGTAATAATTACAAAGTTTGTAAATATCCCKCAAGTGTCTAAAATCATGGAAATATCGTGTAAATTTGGATTTTAATTTTCATAATATTTCCACTAAATTTACATCGTTTGTAAAAAGTGTGAATGTGATGTAAATCAAATTTACAAAATATGCAGTGTATAAGTATTATGTAAGTTTCGAAAATCATGTAAGTATTACTTACATCATTGTTATTTAAATCATTTTCACATTATTTTCAACTGACTTGTCACAATAGTAGCATAAGCGGTCAAACATTGAAAAAGAAACTTGAATTTACGGTCGAAACATAAACTGAACGTCCAAAACCTAAAAATAGTTGAGAATAGTTGAACTATCGAGAATCACTACACAATTTTCTTGTACCAGTCTAGATTTACAGACCGGTCATCAGTACAGAACCACTAATTGAATTGCTCAACTTCATGCAAGCACAGGTATCACTCACCTATATACTACAATTGCATCAACTAATGAATTCGATCAATCAAATATAAGGCGATTTAAATGAAAACTGTCACAATACCAAGAAAACACCACACTGTTCAAMTTCACCAAATATTATCAGGGATTTTGAAATTTTGATTGTTGACCGCATTGATACCCCACCAGCGCGCGAAGTATTATTTTTCTTGGACATAATTTATCCCGCCGACCAGTTTCCAATAATTGAAGTTTATATTTTTAGTATCAATTTCCTGCATAATTGTTCGCTTTCTTTCAAGAAAACCGCTTTCTAGCTGTGTAAGGCCGTCCTGTTAAGTCCTAATCTTCATCTAATTCTAATCTTGCTTACTACTGGGGGTATATTCCTTGCCAGCAAGAAAGCGCATAGCAGGGTCTTAATGGGGGGGTCGCAATGTCGGTAGTCAGTTAAAATTCTAGGCATTTGTCGGTAGTCGGTTATTTAAAAAAAATTAATAAACATTAAGTTTAAATGCATCTAAAACGGTGCTTTATGCCAACAGAATTCTTTCTAAAATGCCAACAATTAAATCCTTGAGCCTTGATTGGTCAATTGGAAGCCCCTCAAAGTTTTAGAGTGGCTCATCACAACTTCAAGAAGCCAATCCGAAGCAAAATTTATTTTTTCCGCGGAAAATTTCGAATGGAGTTGCTTGAGAAATAAAAAAAAAGCTTGTATTCACGGATCTAACATCTTCGAATGTTGGAAAATGTCGCCAGTCAGTAAATTTGTTAATGTCGGTAGTAAGCAAATTTTGTTCAAATTTGTCGCCAGTCAGTAGTTATTTTGTCCATTTGTCGCTTGTCGGTTAACCCCATTCAGACCCTGGCATAGCTATTTTGACAATTTTGATCTCATGGCAGATTTCATATTGTCGATTATTTATCAAAAACGAAACATTTATATATTAGTATTTATTTATTTATTTATTTATTTACTTATTTTTATTTATTTATTATTTTATCAATTTTTATTTTAATTAATTCAGTTAATTTATTTATTTATTTTATTAATTTTTAATTTTATTATTAATTTAGTAATTAATTTACTTATTTCATTAATTTAGTAATTAATTAATTTATTTTATTAATTTTTATTTATTTATTAAATTTTATTAATTTATTAATTTATTATTATTATTCTTTTTATTTATTTATTTATTCATTTACTTTTGATTATTTTTCCATTTATTCATTTATCTATTTGTTCGTTTACTGTCTTTCTTAATCTAGTTAACAAATTTTTATAAACCTTTGTTGGATTAATAAAGAAAAAAGCAAAAGCAACTGCAAAAGTTATGGTAATTTAACGATTTTATGTTATGTTGTAGATTTATCTGCAAAGAGGATTTATCTAAAACTTCCAGAAGTGCTTAGTCATTGATATCGTTATTCCTCCACACCATTCTTCTTTATTAATGATAATAAACTCTAGTTTTCATTGCCTCGAGATCGGAGTWAAAGCCCTACAGAAGGCGGATTATAATAGAGTCCACAATAAGCAAATTACCTGCGTCGTCATTTGTGGGCAGCTGCAAAGTGCTGAACATCCTCAAAACGGGAACTGAGATATTTAACTAAATGAATGTCATTCCTTTTCATGTCACTGTCATTCTGTCTGCTTTCATGACACAACAGATATTAAATGTTTGTACAAGTCTAACAAATAGAGGTAATTGCTCGTCAAGTTATGGCAGGTACATTGAATAGAAACCGTCTTTGTTGGCAGGTATGCACCAGGTATGTCGATTCACGTTTACACAGGCTTGCTGTAATAGGAAGTGGGATTCTATTATTCTATTACAGTATCATTGTGCTATTGTTATAGTAGCGTGCATCTATTTTGGTTACCAGACAAAGAGTGTTTTMGAAAAAAAACTGTAAAACGTAGGCTTTAGCATTTCATCAAACGTCTATTCATTGTTGGTATAGCGTGGTTTTTCGGGATGATGATCWCTGTGTTTTTACGTCGTAAACCAARCATGGATGCATTGTAAACAGCGCTTGTAAGTAACTTGTTTTTTTATAGTTTTATTCATTGCTTAATTTATTTTAAATTTCCTTTTTTCTTCGTGTGTTGGGACTATGATTTGATATAGTAATCACTCGTTATTGCGAACACCTTTGGCGTGAATACCTCGAGATCCCTAGGTAATATAGTCAGGCTTTTCACGCGATTGATATTTGTAGTGACAAATATATGAATTACATAACTATTTCATACTTATTCTGTAAATGTCACGTCATGGCACCAAGAATCCAACGGACTTTAAAACCAAGATCAGCTCGATGTTTTTTTAAGTATTTTTGGTGGGAAACTCTTTTGTGATTTTCGTAGTGTCCCGTACTGGCCAGACAAAAATAAATACAAAACTGCGTTGCGAACATGAGGAAAATTTGCAGCATGTTAAGGCTAAGAATGGTTTTCCAAGGAAAAATCGTTTTCTTTCCATTTTGAACATAGTCCTAAGTGCACAAGATCATAATCTTTTTTTGAATTATTCTTTATTGTTRTGATATTGTGAACTTCATTGGGTTGTTTTAATTAGAAATCTTTGTGGTGAGTGACGAATATATGCAATTTTTAAAAGTTTTACAGTCTTTTAATACGAATATCGACGCCATTTTTAGACCAAGGCCTGACGGGAAATGTTATGCCTCACAATCCGTTTTCTATGCATGTTCCCTTTCCATAAACCGCGTCACCACAGTACTTGCATATCATGAGGAAACTTCCAAAGAAATTTTTATGTTTTTTTAATTGGAATAARAAAGAAAATATGCGACTAGTGAATTTGTCAATGTTTAAGCATGAATAACTSTCGTATGCTGCTTATTCTGTCCAAGCTAAATCCAGACATGCGCAATAGGTCACACCTCTTKGGTGAGGACTATTGTTGCTGATCGTATAACACATAAACGGAGCCTGGGACCATCTGTTTGGGTTTCCATTAAATCGTTAGACAGTGGGACTTAACTTTGGTGAACTACCCACTTTGAGGGTAATCTATCGATTTTCACTAGTCAGTAATTCAAGCCCAAACGAGGTAATAACAAAAACAGCTCTTTCAAAACCAATATAATTTTTACGGTTTCTTTCAAGTATTCATTAATAGCAAGTGAACGCAATACCTAAAACAGTCCTTGACATTTTTGAAGTGAGGGCTTCAATTGAGGTTAACTTGCTTAATAGAGTTTGTCCAGAGTCAAATTATTACAGCGGAAACTCGTAAAAAATAAACACCTGTATTTCAAATCTGTGTGCTACACCTTCATTTCGTGCACAGAAGTATGGATTCTAGCTTTCAAAAGAGTAAAAGGGTTTTGTTTTTGTTTCTGTCCTCACAGATGGGCTTACGATGATGTCATATCTGAGGGGKCTATAGTTGGYATGGTGCGGTCTTTGTGATCTAAAAAGTCTCCATCGCTTACAATCTGACCCGTTGTTGATTCAAGTAATTTGTCGGTCGGCTTCTGTGTAGAGTTATTTTATACCTTTGCAAAAACATTTTTTAGGAAAATTCTCAAGATTATGTCGAAGAAAGTTATGATTATAGCAAGGGGCGGGACAACGGGAATGGAATTATATAGGGGTATTAAAGTTATGAGGGCTTTAATTTGCTTTTCAAACCTAACGGAATTGGCCAAGAAAGCAGTCAGTTGTATGGGAATAGGATGAGAGGGAAGGAGGACGGAGTCTCTTTATAATAAACCCTTTCAGTKATCTCTTTTACGCTGTGTTGACCTCAAAACCATGTAATAAATTCTTTTATTCACAACAGCCCGTGCAAATGCAGAGATTTGTGAGTATAGAAGAAAATGGAAATAGTTTGATATCTCACGAGTTTTATCTACATTTCTGAATATTTTAGCACACAATTGAGGCTAACACAGCGTAAAAGAGATCGCGAAACTCAACTATTGTCRTTATTAATATGGTACTATACTCTGGTATAGGACARACCTCCTTATTATGGTCATGTTTCTTTGCAAGTTCAAAATAACAACCTTGTGTAACCGATACCTCTATCAAACCTAATGACCTCCTTATTGCGAACACACGTACATGATAYATATTGCGGACAACCGATACCTCCATGTAACGCTTTACATTTTACATTGCGACCTCTATATTACGGACATCTTCTTATTGCTGCCCTTACTCGAGAGTTCCCATTTTAGTCTTTTATTTTCTCATCACTTACTTGTCAGTTAAGCTCTAAACTGAGTAGTTAATCGATCCCATCAATCAATAAAGCACGTACCTCCCKAAGTCCTAYGCCCATCTCTCCCCTCGACCCCACCCCTCCCCCAGTAAGGCGAAAATYTTCCCTTTGCAACTAATTTTGGAAAAATCGTTTGACATCGAACCTTTGAGAGCTCATAGTATTCAACAAAAGTTAATATATTTTTACAAAGACCATTTACTTGTTTGCGTGACCTTCGGCTGGCTCCCTGGTCAGTACGTATCAAGCACTACAAACAATGTTSTTATCTCTGCATTTTCTACCTGATATAACACCCCGCACAATTTTAATAACACCACGGAGAGGTGAGAATATGAATAAGTATCCTCACTACTCTTTCATCGAGCGATRATTTTGAGAAGTCGACCTGAGAGTTTTTGTTTCTATCATACTGTGAAGCAACGTGAACTGAATCCCCAGTAGTGTGGTTCTATCGGTCTTATGTGGACGCTAGCCAGCCAGTATTTACCCTAATTGACTASCCAATATACACCCCAACCCAATATAAAAACAAACCTGCGTAACAAATATCTGGGAGCAAATAGGTGATATTTGATGTAGGTATAATTTGTAGTCTTTAATAATATTGAAGTAGAAGTGAGTTGTTCACGTGACTGGCCCTTGGAACAGGGGTCAACCGTCAAGCATTTCCGCTTGTTCTAATGAAGGAATCAGTTTTTAGGAGATTTCATTCGTCAGTGCACATCAAAGGCGCCGAAACGATAGCGAACACTTGAGAAATGCTAAGAGATGAAAATGCGTTGAGTAATCTGGGGCCTACAACAAAAAGAATGACRTCCTAGGAATAGAATGTTTGTTTTGTATTGAAGTCCGAGTGCAAATAGCAACATTTGTTCAGCTTTTTATTTTTCGGTCACTCGTTCACTTGTGCAGCTCAAAATAAAAGCACTTATCGATAAGCAGCGGTTAATGTTTTTCAACTCTAGAAAATGAAAAGGGAGGTCGTTACAAGGGTTGGATTTCAAGAGATCTTAAATTATTTAGGAAGCGAAAAGTGACAAAAAGATTAGAATGTTGGTAAAAAAAAATGGAAAACTCGTTTAAAATACCCTTACAGACTTAATGGGTTTGGTGCCTCGAAGCTTGTATAGATAAGCACAAAAGGCTTACGAGAAGAGCTCGGAAATTGAAATGTTTTTTTCAGTATATAAAAATCTGTGATATGTTGACCCGGAGCGTTACCACCAGTTGTACTTCAAAGACTTGCCTACTCGAGGGGACAAGAGAGAAAACACAGATATGCGCCACTGATAGGATGTTTAGAGTTTCTTTTACTGAGAACGACAAATGTCTGAATCCAAATCAAAGAATTTCATTTAGGGATCTAGTATGTTTTGTAAACAACTGCGAATAGGGCCCAACCCTTGCTTAAGGCGTAGCACCAYCGTGCTTAAGTTTGTGTTGTGCCAAAATGAGGGTATCGTTTCAACTTTAGTAAAAMGATTCTTTGAATCAATCTCAGTGTGCGCAAGGACGGTTTTATTKAGAAAACCCATTGAAAGAAATCATAGTAGACGGAGTAGACGTGATAGACCAGTAATAATGGTGAGAGACTGTGAGGAGGGGAAATACATGTTTACTTTCATAATGAGAATTGATCAGAAATGATGATACTAAAAGGAGTAATTATTTTATCACATAAGAATGATAAATTTTTAATGGCAAAGTGCATGATATGCCTCAATGGAATTATTGTTCGTAGGAGCGTATCAGACAAAAGAATATGGGATGTGTTTCCATATTATTGTGAAAATAGTAAATTTAAAAATATCAAGAATACAATGCAATATTTTATTGCTAAGTGAAACATCGAATTGAAAATGYAAACGGAGTAATTTTATGTGAAACGGAATATACGGGTAATATTATAGAAGGCGGATGAACACTATATTTCAATGATTTTAACTTTACATCTACAATTGTAAATGTCGACTTCGATCATTTAAAACTCGAATCAGAACTCATTATCTAATATAAATGACAAATAAACATAAACGAGAAGAAATGATGACTAAAATACAGCAGAAATTGAGAAAAAATTAACCAACAAACAAACATAGTATTTACCGTATATAATAATTGATATTTAAATTGAAATAGTGTCATTAAGACAATAGGGGACAATGCAATTAGTATGATTTAGCACCTTTGTTTTGTGCTATTTTTGCTATACAGCTTGAGTGTGTTTACCCCACCGATAAAGATGATAATAATAATGAGTAATAAAAAGAAAAAAAAAATAAGAATGATAATATTTCATAACAAGTTATGATACAATCAAAGTGACGRAGAATGAAAATAATGAATAAGAGATATCAAAAACCATCACGAACGCAACTTTTACTGATAAATTGAAATAGAATCTGATAGGTAAGAATTGAGAAAAAAGAGAGTAGTTTTTCATTCGAAACTGAAAAGCACGGATTATGAATATTAAGTGAACACGCCAGTTTGATATTTCATTGAAATAGTGAATAAGTCGAAAAATAGCTCAATGGGCGGTGTATTGATAACTAGGAAGTATTTCCAAGCCGTAAATGGTTTACGATTTGCGATTGAAAGGGTTCCTTGGTCTCGTGCTACGGTTTTCACACCAAACCACCACAGAAAGACAAAAACAAATCAATCAAAGTGATAAATGCAATCAGCTTAGTTTTCATTTCATCATAAATGTCATAATCAAACAAAATGAATTGATCCAAAATTTCTGTATGCCTTAAAAAATGAGTAGGAATTACTTTACACCAGGTTGGCCAGCTGCCTGTTGTTTTCAAACCCTAAATTCTATGTTATGATATTATCAACATATCTTGAAGGACTAAATGTTAAAATACTATTCTAATGGATCTGTTCTGCGTCATAAGATCATGAAATAATTGGATGAAAGAGGTTGAAAAAACAAACCAACCATAACTACCCTCCTATCTAGTGGCAAGCCATTTGTCCTAATGCGCCCGAAGCGTGTTTTTGCTATTGAAAGAGCCTTCTAAGAATGGAAGTTTGGCATAGTAATTAGATCATTATTAAAATACCCCATCACACTATGTAAACAAATATATTTTGATGGTATATATATGTAGCAAGATAGACAATGAGTGTTAGCAATGGGGAGGTTCAATCTTAATTGTCTTAATGAGAAACAGTGAGCCAAAGCAAACGATTTGAAAATGATTTGTGGGAAAGTTTTTAGTCGCTAAAAACCGGCATGGAGACCCGAATATACCTGAAGTCTTATCTTCTGGCTTTATCGGTAGAATTTTTTTAACGCTATCTAGGCCATCAGGCACTGTCAATCTAGCGACATGAAGGACAAACGGCATGTTCACAATCCATTTTCGTATCGTACAAATGTAATTTGAAATTGAAAGAAAGGAAGAAATCTAGACAGAAGTCAAGCGTGTCTTAAATCCGTCAAAGTGTAATTGCTAACGCAAACTAAGTCCACATTGGTTACATTATTCACTGTCAGGCTATCTCAACTGATAGCCGTTTTTCGCTGTCAAGATAGAAAGCAAAAAAATCTTACATAATTGTGTGCTCTGGTTGTCATCGTCGAAGACATTTTATTCGTATCTACCAAACCGCGATCTAAGTCACAGTTTCAACGATAAAGCTTTTAAAAATGCCATTCATTGAAAACAGTCCAAATGAGATTTATAAGTAACACCAACAATTTGATTGTGTTTTTTTTTTACGGTATTTTTTTAATGAAATTATTCAAGCAAAAAAATATTTATTACATATATACAATGTTAACATTCTTTTAAAAGCCAGTCTAGCGGAATGGGTATATCAATATATGCTTTGTTATTTTCGGCGCAAGGAAATCACATTAAAAAAAAACTAATGGTAATAAGTGCAAAGCCCCTGATGGATTTACAAATTATTGATAATATTTTAAAATCAATTATCTGTAAAAATGTGTCTGTAACTGCACAGGAAACAGAAATAGCCTACATTTTTAGACAGTAAGATAGCATAAAAACCTTAAGGGGTCAGTTTTTAGCTGTCACAACATCATGATCTTGTCCATTATGGAGCTCTACACTAAACAAACTCAAGCTTTGTGAAGCGTCAGTCGTGTTGTGAAATACTTGCATTTGATTGGTCAGTGCCACTAAGAACAATTTCCCGCTAATTGGTCGTTTGATTTCATTGGTCAATAGGATCTTACACTGGAACAGCTCTTCTGACATCGACATTACACCGACCATGTACGAATGTTCAAGGGTTTTATCGAATGCTTTCCAAGTCTGATGGTGTCGCGTATTCCTCATCTCAAGCATGTTGGTGCTCCTGAGCACGCTTCTCCTGGTGCAATCTGTTTGTGCGATCCGACGAGGTAAGATTCCATCAAAGGATCACCACGTTGATTTTGGTCTTGTTTAACTTCTAGATAGCCGAGATCAAGTTTAGGAATGCCTCGCTTTGAACTCCACGAAGGCGCCGAGCACGGCTTCTGTGTGTTGGTTTAAGGCTGTTAAGATTAATGACGATTTGTGGATTTAGCACGAGAAATAATTAAAAACTACATGCGAATGAATCCCACTGCATTCAAATCAGTGAATGTAAATTTCCGGTAGACTGTTCTTCGGTAGTTTACGGTCGAAGTTCTTATAGCCTTTGACTAAAACTACGTCGCCTCCGCTTCCCCGTGGTGAAAAAATATGTTCTCATAAACTAATTTTATTGTATTGTTATTGTTCTAGATATCGTCTGCTGTAATAAACAAACAAATGCCTTTCGCCAATGCAGAAATGCTTGCTCTAAAGTAAGTCTCTTGATTCTTGGCCTTTTATTGATGCTCAACGGGGCAGCGAGAGAATATTCAAAGACCACTAGCTGTTTATCGTGACTTGGCTGCAAACAAATGATCACTAGACTCACAGATTGATCTGAAAGCGATCAGGATATTAACGATTCCGAAAYACGCTCATCAGTTTCTCAATGGATTTTACATATACAAGTTTACTTTAATTCGCTTCAAATTGATATATCGGGTTGACGAGCGCAACGTTCAGATATTTGTTAATCAAGTTTCTTGTTCCAGTTTGCCGCAGAAACAGACGTTACTAAACGATACACAAAGCTGAAAGAGCTTCCAATAGACTGCCCAGGCCATTTGGTGAGTAGAATTAGGTTGTTTTGAATAATCTGTTCGCGGGGTGCATCAAAGTGTATGTTTTYGCGTGTGAAACAGTTGTTTGACTCTTGGAGCGATCCGATCGCTAGCGCTGTGCGAGAGACGATCCACACAAGACACCGCTACATTCTATAATTTCATGTCTCCTTGTTCGCATTTTAGACACAACTCTGGCGCTGCTTGAACAGGACAAATCCAGGTAAGACACCACGTTGCTTTGTATCTTGATGTCTTAGCATTGTCACTCCAATTTCGGCTAATAACTTCTGCAAATAAAGGACTACCTTTTCATTATAGGCCAATTAGCGCCTAAAAACTACAAGTCCATAGAATCAAAACTTGTACATTGTACAACTCTATTAGCGTTTAAGTTAATCTAATTCAACTAGAAAATCTTTGGACTTATTTATCCAGCTTAACGACGAAAAATATCGATATACTAGGGATTAGGAAAGACCTCAAGGTCGCCAAAATGGAACGAGGCGAACCGCTTGAATGATTTTCCATGCGATTCGAGTCATCTTTCCCTGCGTGTGTTTTTCGATAACCCGTCCATTGCGGTTGGACTTTATTTCTTTTTTTCTAAGCGTTGTAAGAGAATTAAGTAAATAGTTGATGTAAACACATGTGGTGTTTTGCGTTTTGTATGAGTAGACGCATTGACTCTTATCTTAGGCTAGCTGCTAATGGCAACCTTTYAAGCGCGCATCAATTTGCATGCGAACGTCGAACTAATGGACAATTAATTGGCGAGCGTATTGTTCTACGTTGTACTGTTGTTTTTCGGAGTTCGTTCACGAGAACGGTACACTGAATTCACGAACGCAAAGAACAAATTTCTTAGCGAACGTGTTGYCAAGGACGTTACACAATAGAGAACTAGTTGTCGTTTGACGGTTGTTTTGTTCAATCCGTCACTTCCAATTTAACAGAAATGGATGATGCCTGTTGGGTTTTTGTATGCTTTGTGATAATGCTAAATATGTGGATAACCCTTTTTGTGCCACAGGCTAAAATTAATAATACATGACATTGTGGAATACACTTTCGTTTGGGGACATTTAGAAGTGAACCTCTGCATATAATTTCAACTCCGAGCAAACCATTTTGAAACATTCTTGCTCTATTGGACCTTGGTGCGTCGAACAATGAACAATGCAGTAAACTTTACTTTTTCTATAGCTTTAGCGATATATTTACACAAAATCAGTCCCCCGCGGAGACCTGCCTATGGCCTTTTGTTCTGAGTAAAAACCATTTTTGAGAATGGGTGGGATTCGGCTTTCTCAAGAGCTCGCAGGATGACGTGCGTTGACTAGACTTCGTATCAACACAGATATCTGATTTAGCTGCCTGTTGAGACCTAGGAGTGCCCAGAGCTGACAAATAGTGTTCTGCTTTCTTTGTTGAAACGGCGCAGATTTTAAGAGCTGTTAGAAAWGATTTTCTCGAACAAGTTTTTGATTATAAGATKATTATTTTAACAAACAAAACAATGTAAAATATCTCCAGGCATAAAAACACCTTTCTCCTCTTCTGCTGGTAGATAAACCTTGAGATATTTCAATCAATATCTTGTCCATCGATGCACTTTAGCAAAGTGCTCCTGAATATATGAAAACCTTACTTAATGGTGACTTTATCTTACGTTTTAAGCTATTCTATCTCTTTTTCATCTTCAAGTAAAAATAGAATTGCAAAAAACTAACCTTGACTACCTATGGGGTCATTTTCAAGTTGATCATAGTCAAGCTCCATTTTAATCCCCCTTCACTTGAAATTCCTAACTGCAATCAGATATATCCTTGAACTGATAAAAACAGGGGCTGGATTTACTCAAACAGGTCTATATTTTTCTTGTTATCCTTGTAGAAAATTCTAGACACCATAAGGAAATTTTATGTTTGTATTGCTAAAACAGTGTACACTGCTAGCTTTTTGAACTGAAAATCTAGATTGTCAGATAGGAATTTCCTTTTCCATAAATATCACTTAGATAAAGGAAATAGAGAAGGAAAAGTTTTTAGATACCACAGGCACATTCCTAGTATTGATAAGAGCAAGACCTGATACTGGTTTTTCTTTTGTCAACATGTAATAGGAAGTCAGAACAAATAAAAGTATTAGTATTTCAATTACAATGTGCATTGTATTTGAGTCTTAAACTTCATAGCCAACAGTGCGGCCTGACCATATCAAACAAGACAATGATCTTTACGTGATTGAATCTCAATTACAAATTCAAACACCGAACCCTTGGCTGGCTGTGTTTGTTTAAATCCATTTTGTGAGTTTTATTTTTTGTTTGGATCCAGTTCATAAAAAAATATTTTGAGTTCATACAAAAGGAAGAAAAATTGATTTGTTTACACTATATGTTTCTACATTTTGCCTTTCTTTTCAATTCAAATTGTTCATGAAACTACTTTGCATATGTCAAACAATTAAATGTAATTATTATAGATGATGGCCAACCATGTGATTTATTGTCCATAATAATGTCAAATTCTGTATGAAGAGAAAGTGAAAACCTTGGTTTATTAATTTTTCTAGGCTTGAAGTGTGCGTGTGTGTTTTTCTAAAGAGCATTAATAATCCTTCAAATAATTGGATTTTTAGGGATTCATTATTTGTAGTACTTATAAATAGATATAAGCCTCAAGATTCTTGTCTTGGGTGAGAGTGCTTTGTTTATTAAGCCAAAAAGTACAATTAWTGTTTTCTTTRTTGAARCAAATTTTCTTAGTATCCTAAATGCTTCCCTAATTGAAAGCTAAACCTWCCTAAGGTGTTTGTCCTAAATCATTGCATTCCAACCACCAGTGACTCTTGACTTCAGAGCACTCCAAAAAATGGAAAAAATGGCAAAAATATTCAAAACTACACCTAGATTACAGAATATGCTAAATTAGTTGCCTTATTTCATAACATTTGTTTGTGTGCATGAAAAATATATTTTGTAAAGTACCCAGCCTCAAGTTATCAAGGCTGTGGGTTTGTTTTAATCGCTGCCAGATGTCCGTAGTGATTATATTATAATATGCATTCCTATTAACATCATTAAATGTCAGTTTGGAACCCCTAAATTCAATTCTAATCTATTTGTGAGATCATTAAAAAGATGTTATTTCACTTTTCYATTGGTGAATTGCAGGTATTCATAGGCTTGTATAGAAAGGCATTTAACATTATTGATAACAAAAACTTCCTTTCTGAAAGAAAATATTCTAAATTCGAGCTGTCTCTTGAAATTGAAGCTATCTTTTAAATCATTCCTAATGTGTTGTAATGCTTATGTAAAAGGCTTCTGTTTAAATTGATGTTAAAACCAGGAAAGAAGATAACCTCCCTGTTTATCTAAAATTTTTGCTTTTATTGGTTAAAACAGGATATGTGGTGCCTTAAGTTCAAATAGGATTATAGACTTCTCAGTTTAAGAAGATGGTTTTCAGGGATTATATAAAGTGTACGTGCTTCTGTTGTAAACAGGAGTGTTTGTCTACAATATTTCAGTATCTTTATCCGAATAATGAATGTGTAAATATCAAAATGTATAAACTTAATACATCAAATGTTCATAAATTCAGGATTAATCATGAATGTGTTTTAATTTCATTGGCACTGAACAAAAGGTAGCATGCTTATTTAAGATTTTATAGACATTAAGACTGGCGAGGCTGGGCATTTGATAATGCACACAGTCATATGTTTTTGTGTCCTTTTGTTTAATTAGCTTTGTTTGGATCACATAAAACTTTTATTTCAATAAACATGAATCAACTTGTCAATACCATAAATGCGAAAAAAGGGAAAGTAATGTAAAGCTTTTCATAAAATTGTATGCAAAAAGAGAAAAATATTCGAGAATAATTGATATCAGTATGTTAAGTGGTGGATGTAATAAAACAGGGAAGAAACATGCTTTTATGCATTAGAAAAATGGATTTTCTTTCATTTGGAAATGTGATATATTATTTTGAAGAAAATACTGAAAAGCATATGCTGTAAGGTGAYACAATATGATAGTGATTGTGGGAATTGCTAAAATATAGCTTCAGGGACTCTRGATATGAAAATGAAATGTTGATTAATGTTCATTTGTTTGATCTTAACCCATGAAAATGAATTTTYTACAAATTTTCCAATCGCAAAAAACATTTGAATATGACAAATTCTASAGATTAATCTAATTTAAAATCACTGTCTTTGAATTTATAAAAGGCAAAAATTAACTTGCGTAAACTCGCTTTGGCTTGCATAACAATAGTTTGACTGCAAACAAGTTCGGTTATCTATATTAATATAGGTTTTTGTACTTCTCCTACATACAACATATTTCTTCAAGCCATCAGTTGCTATGCATTTATTTTATTTTTCAAGCAAAGATTATTGTGGTAATTTAGACCAAATTATTGTCGGCATATTTTGAACAAAGCATGTACCAGTACATTATAGATCTTGAATAATTAATAGTCTTAGAAACCACAACATTTTGGTGGTTTTAGAATTCTTTATAAACAAATCATAGTTGTCTTGATGATGAAAATGATAATAATCAAAGCAAGTCTAAAATCTGTGACATTTGAGTGACAATTAATAAAGAATAAGTGACGTTAATTAAGTATGAATTGAAGATTTTCAAAAAAAAAAAAATTGTTGGCTTTCATGACATGCAACATTGGCCATATTAGTATACACAAAAAATGGCAGAAACTGGCGGTAAACTAGTGTTTTCTAAAGAAACAGTTGTGTAAAAWTACAAATTTAACACTGCAAAAAAGTAGGTGAAACAACTTACTGACTTTAATTTTCAGACATTAATCATTTGTCGGAGTAAAGACAAAAAAAATTCTCATTAGTGTTTATTATGTACATGATGGCTATTGAATTCTTTATTTGTCAATAGTATTCTTTATGTAAAAGCAAACTAAGTATTTATGCTGTTTTCATTGATGATTATTTTATGATGATGATTGTGCCACTGATGATGATGATGAACATGATTGCAATTAACTACATTTTGTTCATTCAACAGTAACTGTTACAATCAAGCGTTATCTGTCATCCAAGATGCCAAATCACGCTGGTCTTTGTTGTTTGCTCACAAGAAATCCAAAATGTAGAAAGGACTGCCTGAATGGAGCARTGACTTCATTGAATACCAGCTGTGCACTTGAAAATGACCAATATCATGTAAGTACATGTGTCTGAAGGTGTTTTRCAGAGAATTCAATATGTTGTTGAACTTCATGTTTCAAGGAGCAAACTTTTAACTCTACATGGACTAACTTTACTCGTCTATTGGACTGTTTCTGCCATGAAATTTTTAAGTCGTCTTTGCTTTTCAAACTGGCATGCTAATTAATTATTCTTGTGCTTTCAGCCATCATTGATATCCTGTGTACATAGACATCAAGGTGAGGAACAAGTTTCAATAATTAATTATTATGTGATATAAGCATAGACCTCAAGGATGATGGAACCACTGAATGGACTTTTTGTCTCTAGTTCATCAGATACCCAGATGTCTTATTGTGTCAATATATATATAGCAACATATTGGGTGAAAAATAAGTAAAACCAATACTAAAAGTAAAAAAAAATGATCTTGACATTACATAATTGGTTTGTTTGCTTTTCTCCCAAGTAAGAGACTCAGGTTGGAATCCAGTTCAGAATTTAGTATTTGTATTAACTAGACCATATGTTGGTGAATAGGAAAACATSTTAAACCAGACTAGTATGCAGTCTTTTGAAGGTTGTAATAGGTTCACTAATTAACTATATTGATTGATAATTTTTAATGCCATTCATATTTACTATTTCAAATATAGTTGTAACAAGATTTTTCCTTTTGGCACTTAATTGTCTATAAATATTTGAACTGCCATTGTGTTTAAATCATATTTCAATGTTGACACCTTGAGATTTTGAGCCAAAGGTGCATCTTCATCCTTAAGATAAAGTTTCAGTTGTTTTTCTGATCTATGACACCCTTGTTATTATTATTATGACCTGTATATTCTTCACCCTGGAGCTTGACCTTTAGATCAATTAACAGTTGTAGTAAACAAACATGATTCAAACACATAAAAACACATTTTTTTTCTTATATTATTTTAATTGTTATTATGAACAGTTACCACACAGTGTTGTCATGGTGCATCAAGGAGTTGTATCAAGAATTGCAAACTGGTAAACATATTCAGAACAATAATAAATCACTCAATATTGATGTGAAGGATCTAGCAGAGAAAATGCAGCTAATCTCTGATGATTGTTCATCAATGTCTGTTGAAAAAGGAAATCATAATATTGTGAAGTTTTGAACAACATTGTAACAAAGTGGAAGTGTAGATGTTTTAAGATATTTTCCTGTCTTCCCTCACAAAGGAATAAGGTCACTCTTTAGGTGTTTTAAGACATTTGCATGTCATGGCCTGAAAGTAGATAAAGATTCACTGCATCWATTTTCAACAATTTCTGCATGTTATTGCTTGCAAGAGAAAAAGATTGCATGTTGCTGTTTGAAAATATTCACATGTCTTGGCTTGCAAGAGAATGAGGTCACACTATGTTTTTATAAAAATATATATTTGCATGCCATTTCTTGCAAGAGAACAATGTCGCCCTGTAGGAGTTTTATATTATTTGCATGTCATCGCTGCAAATATAGTGAAAATGGCAGAAGCTTGCCATGTGCAAGGGTCAGCGGGTCAGCCACCAGGGTTGAGGGTYGCTATTTAGGCTTTTCGATCAGTGTCTCTACCATGGAAATGAAGCATTGTCCATTATGGYGCCTATTCTTCCTAAAGAAAGAAATGATAGAAAAAAATTCCCATTTTGAAAGAGCAATTCTTTTAATTTGACTGCAACATTCATGCTATTTTCTAATGTGAATGGGATAAAAGGCTAACAGATTAAAGATGCCAATTTGATTTAAGATTTCTTATCTCTTTCAGTTGTTTGCATCAGAAAAACTCCCAAGATTAAATATGAACAGAAAATTCCAAAACCACTGTGGCAAATATAGGAAGGTTTTGAAGTGTGTGGAGAAAAATTTAGGTAACTTGATAACTGAGCTTCTTATATAATGTTTTCTCTGATGCTCTTCCATGTCGGCTAGGGAAAACTTCCCTAGTGTCTTTTTTTCTAAATTGTTAAAAAAATAAATGATAAAAAACAGTAAATAATAATTTTAATCAATATGTTAATGATTTGTTATTATTTTTCAGGGCCCATTAAAAAGAAGCGAGGTAATGTTACTTTATAATATCATCTTTGATTTAATATAGTGTAGAGTTGTTTCACAATTCTCAGCTGACATAGCTAGGGCTTGCCTAGATATTGAACTAAATTATATGAACTCAATTTACTGAATATTCCAGGTGGTCATCAGTTACATTGCTGTACAAAGGCAAGAAGTAATGGATGTGCAAAGACATGTAGGAAGGTAATTACAAATGCATTTTCTCTTTGGTCATTTTATACACTTGTTCACGATCACAGTGCTAGTCAGCAGGTAGGCCTTTGAGATGGTGAAACTTAAGTGCTGCCTTTGATATTATGATGACGATGATGATGATGATGATGATGATGATATATAACCATTCTGACGATGATGAGCATGGCTATCTAATAAGTTTAGCATGACTTGCTATTGTAGACTGTTTCTTGAAGCTTTTGACATATTCCTAACAATATTTTTACTGTCCCAATTTTTGACAGGAGCTACTATCAAGCAAAGATAATAAATCTCTTATGGATGGGATTAGGGCTGTATGTAAAGGTCCTTATGAATTAGTTGAGAATAATGACATGTGGACATGTTTTCTTAGCTCACAACCAGGTAAGTCACCCTAATGCATTGTATGTACAGTACCAGGAATGGACTTTATATGTACTTTAGTAATTTTGTAGCATTCTGACATTAACTGCTTCTCAACATCAACTGTGCAATCTCTTTATCAGAATTAAAATTTCTCGTTAATCTCTCTCCTTTTGCTTCAAATACTCTACTATTCAGTTCCATTATCAAAAACCAGTCTTATTGAACAGTGAGATTGAAGTATTATTTCTGTTTGTTAGTTAAACCCTCTTCCATACCACCAAATGAGAGTACAAACATCCTAAGCCCCTACAAAGGTGAGGTAGCAATTTGTTCTCTTAAAAATCATACCACCTTCATTTTAAATCATAGAATGTTTTCCAGACATAGATGGTGCCAGATTACARTGTTGTTCAAAAGCTGCCACCCCTATGTGTTGGAGTCTGTGCTCTGATATGTATCACTCACCTCTTGGTGTACCAAAGAACTACCAGAAGTTYGACAAGGAGTGTTCTTACAATCCTAAAGAAGCGGCACTAATGAACTGTCTTGCYGATGTCAACAAGCCTTGCCAACTTGGTTGCAGTGGACTTAATTTCTGCACCAATTTCAATAACAGACACACTGAACTGTTCAGAAGCTGTGACTCTGCTTCTGATTCATTTGCCAAGGAACACATGCAGCAATGGCATGAAGGGATTATCAAAGTACCTGGCATACCAATAGTTGTACAGAACATTAAGAAATGCTTGCCTGATACTTGGAAGGTAAGGATAAACAGCTATAAATAGGATTTGCATTCATTTATTGTCCTGTAAAATATATATTCTGTTTTTAGGAAAAAAATAATCAATTGCCAGCTACTACTTATTTCAAATATGTTTATGTTACATGCACCTACTTGCGAAAACCTTGTCATAAAAAATAGGACATTTGTATTTAGTAAAAAGGAATCAATTAAAAAGACAAAAGAAGATCACTGAGGCTGAACACTTTCTTTTGTTTTGTTTTAATTTATTCCTTTTTACTAAATTCGAATGTTCTATTTTCTATGACAACTTTTCTGCAAGTAGGTGTATGTTTATGTTGTTTGTATGCTTATGTTGTATGTTTATGTTTTGTAGGCTATTGCCTGTCTATTRCAAATAAAACCATGTAGTCTGAAGTCCCATAGAAGCACAATCTGCAAGTAAGTTTCAATGAAATATTATGCATATAAAAAAATTATGTSGACTGCATGTCACTGTGTGTGACTGTGGGTGCTGTGACTTTACATAACTATGGTGATTCACCATGTTATTTTTTTATTTTACTTCACTAGTGAGCAATTCATGGTTACATGTATGTGACTTTGCCATGTTGTGTCTGTGCCACTGATCCATGCCACTGCATAAAACTAATCATAGGAAGTTACATTTTGTTCAAACTATTCCTAATAGACATAGTTATGATTTCCATCTTGTGAGCTTTGATCCAATAATGAGTTTTTACCAAACTGGTCATTTTTATGCTAATTTGAAACTAATGATGTCTAATATTGCAATGTTTGCAGGTCAGATTGTATTCACATCCTTCAGAAATGTGGCAACTCAACCAAATATGCCAATAARGAGGTTGTTGAAAAAGTGTGCAACAAATTGTCCCCATCAGAGACAAACTGTATTTCTATTACAAAATATTTAAGTAAGTGACAGGCTGATAATGGCACAATACAGTCCTAGCTTTAATTTATTCCATCTTTACAAGTACAGTACTTACTGTTTATTCTGATTTTTTTAGAACCAAGTAAATACAAAGATGTCACTGATGAAGGTATGAAGGTTACTCTTGT